ATTTACAGAGATGTTTTCACATCCTCTGCCCATATAGAGAGGTCTGTACACATACCTCTTCCATAGATACCTTTATCACCAATATTCCGGTTATGTCCCTTCCAAATTCCTGACCATCCCACCAGGCTATTGACATCAGCCCATGAATCAGTATATAATCACACATGTAGCCATTTTTCCTTTCAGGCAAAATGTACTACCAGGTGTACTGCCCAAATTTTGCCCCTGTAAAGATTTCCTTTCACCACTGTCCATACTGCATCAGGGATGTCTTTGAAAGGGGCTATGCAGTGCTACAGCTGTCCACTAGCAGGTGGTGCCTGGATAATGTGCAGAGCCATCCATAAACTAGGCCCTAACTTACTCTTCCTCTGACAGCTGATCATATGGTACAACCCACAAGGCCACTGGTGCATGCTGGGAAAGAAGACAGGATAGCAAGAGTAGGAGCCATGGACATTTGGGCAAGTTCTTCATGTAATTTACTTGTACTTTTAGACCTACTCCAGTTCAATCACATGTGGACTGTTTCTCAGCACGTCCAATCTTATGACTCAGTGGATCAGATAATACCCAGCTCATGATACCACTCAAGTCATGTGGTAACCTGGTGTCCTGTTTCCAGAAAGGCCCAGTAGCAGGCCAAGAGCTGTAGTCTCTGCAGATAATAGTAGCATTTGCTGCAAAACCTTAAATATCTCTGCAATTGATCTTTAAGGGCCTGCCACACACTGCACACGGCATCTCTACCTGCTCTTGACACTTATGAGTACCACTGGCCTCCTGGATCATAAGGCCCCAGGGGCAGAGCAGAGGAGACTGACCCTGTTGCAGAGCCTTTTCTTGTTCTTGGCCTCACTCAAAACCAGCAGCTTTCTAAGTCACTTGGTAAACAGGCCAGAATAAAACACCGAAGTGAGGAATGTGTTGCCTCCAAAATCCAAATAGGCCTAAGCATTGCATCTCTTTTTTAGTTGTGGAAGAACCAGATACAACAACTTATCTTTTACTTTAGACAAGATATCTCTACATGCCCCCACACTATGGCGCTCCTAGAAATTTCACTGAGGAAAAAAGATCTTAAATTTTAGTTAGATTTATTTCCCATACCCAGTTTCTCAAATGCTTTACTAACAAGTAGAATGGTTGCTACCTCCTGCTCACTTGGTCCTTCAGCATAATGTCATCAATGTACTGAACCAGTGTTACACCTTGTAGGAAAGAAACGCTATCAAGATCCTTGAAAACTAAATTATACACAGAGCTGGAGACATAATATAACCCTGAGGTGGGACGGTAAAGCTGTATTGCTGGCCTTGCCAGCTTAAAGCACATTGTTTCGGATGAGCCTTATCTGCAGGTACAAAGAAGGCATTTGTCTAGCCGTAGACTGCATATCACGTATAGGGAAATGTGTTAATCTGCTCAAGCAGGGACAGCACAACGGGTACAGCAGCTGTAATTGCAGCCACCACTTGATTTCGTTTACAATAATGTATTGTCATTCTCCAACACCCATCCTTCTGCACAGGCCAAATGGCAGATTAAATAGAATCTGCCATTTATCATGCCAGATATCATGAGAACCACCACTCCTGTATCCTTCAAGTCCTTGAGAGTGACACTAACCGCTGCAGTCCCAGGGACGCAATACTGTTTTTGGTTTACTATTTTACCAGGCAATTCGCAGCATCTTTCATTTGGCCTTTCCAACCATGATAGTCCTCACACTACAAGTGAAGGAAGCAGTGTGAAGATTCTGCTAAGTATGAAGTATATACATTTACAGAACGGAAAATGACTACAGAAGGCATTGAGGACCAGATGGACCCACTGAGTCAGACTTCTGCTAAAACTCCATTGACCAGCTGACTTCCATAGGCCTCTTCTTTTACTAGAGGGCCATAACATTCCACTGGAATCAGCATTAGTTCAGAACCAATATTCAGTATCCCTGAAATGTCTGATCATTATCTTTCCCCCAGTGTACAGTCATTCTGGCAAAAAGCCTTTGGCGAAAGGGGAGAAAGATTTTTTGTGGTATACCAGGGTCTTTGTTCAAGGGGACCGACCCATCCTCCCCTTCATTCACAGGGTTCTAGGTTTGTAAACTGGCTCAAGTGTGAGAACTGATCAAAGGACCATGATTCACTGTTACTATGATTTGAAGCAGGTTTTTGTTCCTTTGCTCTTATTTTTTTTGTAAAAATTATGTAGACTTCCTGTGTACTTCACTTTTGGAAACACATGCATGTCAGACCATTCTGATCATTTTTCTGCTCGTTCTGTGCATTACAGTAAGTGTGTACACCTTGCCTTTGAAGATTAAGTGGTGCCACTTAACCGCTGCCACTCCACAATCCCATTGCCCTTAAGTTTACTGCTGTCCCTACTGTAAGGTCTGGCATACAGAGGAAGAGCAATGATGGGACTCTTTCAGGGACGCTGGTCCTCCCCTTAGCGGTGTACATTTTCTGGATCATTCTACTATGGCAGATTAGGTTTGACATGAAAAATCCACTCTAGCATTTTCATTTGCCTAAGGCCCTGAATCAACAGTAAACCATGGACTATCGGGCATCTGAAACTCATTCACACTGGGCCATCTTTTGAGCCTTACTTCTGCCAATAAGCCAAACTATTAACACCTTTTTTTTACTTCACGAGCTGCTTATAGGCTCATATTGACAAACTCAGCCTGTTCCAGGTTTGTTTTCTTCACCATTATTTCACATCCATAAAGTCCAATCTCACACTTGCTCATCAAGCCTCTATTTTTAAGAGTTAGAAAACTCAAGGAGTTCGTTGGGAGAGTAATAGATCTCCTCATGGGGCACACTGACTACCTCACTCTTAGGGCCCTTCTGTGATTTGAGCCTGGTTATAACCTAGAGGCAAAAGTGGGTGGTAGAGTGGGTCCTGAGGAGTGCCAGTGTTATCACACTTGGTCGACACAGGACTGGTTGCCTCTGTGAGGTCTATGGGGAAAGGCCAACGCACGAGGGGGCCGGGGCCGGGGGGGGGGGGGATGCCTCCGCTACTGTGTAGGGAAATAGCTTCCTCCAGAAAAATAATCTCAGAGTGTAGGAGCTGAATATCCTCAGCCTCAATAGGCTCTTCCTGAACACCTCCATCCCAGTTTTGGGATCCCACTCTTTTCCAGTACGTGCCCCCACTTCACTTCAGGTAATGTTCAAGGCTGAGCATTAACCTTACTCCATGCTTCAGCAAACTGAGTTGTGAAGGCCTGTGTCTGGTTTCTGCAGTTTTGGCCCAGTGGCCGAAGGACAGGAGATTGTCTTTCAGGAGACACTTAGAAACTTGTAAATTTTTTATGTGTGTTTCTGGAGCTGGGAATTTGAGTCTTTGAGCTATTTATTTTCCTTTATTAATTTGTTGTTAGAAGATTTCATATTTCCTATGAATGTTTTGACTTGTAACTTCATTATTTTGTCCAGAGGTGCTGAGAACAGCCAGCCAGTATCATTATATTTCCCACTCTGACAGAAATAAAATACAAAGTTGCTAAATTCCTTGTATTTCACAAGTAGTGAATTAGCATAATCTAACAGGTCTGCATTGTACCACGGACTATTAGTATACCTCACAGTATCAGGAGAGACCATGGCTTCTTTAGGTCCCATCAAATTAGAGAGCCAAGTCCAAAACGTTTAAGGCCATTAAAGAGTTTCATCTTTACAGTTCTGCTTCTCAAGAACTACTACTGGTGCCAAAATCTGTATCAGTCAGTGCTTCCTGGAAAAGCAGATTTAATGTAAGTTATACAAATATGTAAGAGTTTACAAGACTTACTTACAGTACCCTCCCACGGAGTCAGAGGTGGGAAAATGCAAACTGTGCCTGCCCACTTGAAATTGAAAGGCTCCAGTCCAAGGCCCGGCACTCAGGCAGTGACCCATGTGACTCTGTATTAGAAGGCCCAAGGGTCTGTGATAGAAAGGTGCAGAGTCTGTTCTAGGGGCTGAAGAGGGTACACTGGAGGCCAAGAGATGATGTCCGGGGTGAAGGTGGAGACTGGAGCTCCTCTGAAGAAACAAAAGCGAGTCTTCTTCATTTCTGTTTTATACCATTCAGGCAACAAGCTACCCAATGGTCACTCTTCCATACCTAGGACTATGCTGATCCAGTTTAGTTGGACATTTCTTACTCAAGCTGACACAGTTAACTAACCCACCAACAAAAGGTTGGCTATTATAGTAGAAACCATTACAACAGCTCAATTCTTCAGAGTGGTTCTCAAACCATGTGGGCTCCTGTTTGTTCCAGAAGTGACAGCAGGACTTGAATGCATCTTAACATTGATTTTCTTTTTTTTCTTAGAAGAGGATAGAAAAGGATAAATGCAACCATGTTTTAAGTGCTTTGGAAAGTTGAGTTAATATTCAGTGTTGGGCCATTTTCAAAATTTTCTACTATTGATTCAAGTTATTTTTTTTTTTATCGGTACCAGGGATCGAATTCATGACCGCCTGCTTGCAAGGCAGGTGCTTATGCCGTTGAGCTAAATCCCCAGCCCCAATTCAAGTTATTTTGGTGTCTTAGAAAATCAGCCTCTTTAAAACAATATTTATATTTCAGTTCCTTGATTATGGAAAACTTAAACAACAAAACATTTTTTTCTTAGATTAAAAAACATTTAAAGTTCATAACTGATAAAATAAGAATATACACGTTTTAGGTAGACAAAAGTAGGAATTAGTACTGTTTTTCCATGTTGTTTATTCAAAATCTTTTTTTTTTTTTATTGTTGTGTTGTTTTTCTGTTTTAATACAGTGCTTGGCTATGTAGTTCAGTCTAGCCTTGAACTCACTATGTAGCCCAGGGCGGCCTTGAACTCATGGCAATCCTCCTGTCTCAGCCTCTCAAATTCTAGGTTTACAGTTGTGTGCCACCATACCCAGTGTTCAAAACCTATGTTTAAGAGCACGGTGTAATCAGTGTATTTCCTACTAATGTAATATTTCTGTTTTCTTTTTAGGAAATAGTCTAGTAAGTTTAACCTTTCATTTATTTAGTCTTCATGGACTAATAGAATACTTCCATTTAGATATGATGAAACTTCGTAGGTTTTTAGGTAAGTGATTCAAACCTACCTAACAGTAAAAAGATTTATAAAGAACTTATTTAACTTATCAATTTTATAAGGTAGCCACTGCTCTATTAAAATCAAATTCAGAGGCTTCAAACACACATTTACAATTGGCAACCACATGACATTTTGATCAGTGACCAACTGCACATGTCATGGTGGTTGTCTCAGAATATATCCTCTAGTTGCGTCACATACCCATCTTAATTTGTATAGGTACATTCTGTGACTTTTGCACAATGAAATCACCTAATTGCACATCTCAGGATGCTTTCTAGTGTTTAGTGATGAAAGACTATGCATATGAATTGTAAGGTGAACAATTTTGATTCTGAACAATCTTAGTTGACAGCGACATGGAAAATGAGAGGGTAACATAATTATCACAGTTTTTTAATGTGTATGTGTGATCCATTGTAAAATTGGAATCATTGCTCATTTATAATCTTGCCCATTATAAAGTTGGGGTCATTTTTTTTTCTTTGATGTAGTTATGATTCAAGAAGATTACCACAGTCAGAATCCTTACCATAATGCAGTCCATGCTGCAGATGTTACTCAGGCCATGCACTGTTACTTAAAAGAACCTAAGGTAAGAAGTTGACTTTTACTTTAGGTGAATAGTACTAGAAGATTTCTTTGGGTATACTTTATCTTAAGTTAGTTACTCAAAATCAGAAACTCTTCCTTCATAAAGATGAGATCTAGTTTGAGCTTCTAAATGTGGCCATATTTGTAACTGCAACAAGTAGAGAATTGGGGTGGTTGTTGAAAGAGGCTAAAGAATCTCAGGCAAGACCATATCCTTGAAACCTTGAGCAGTGAAGACACTCACTTTTACAGTGAGTGCCACGAGGGCAGGAAATGAACAGGAAGCTAAGGAAAGGCTTCGGGGGACTAGAAACTAACCTGGCTGTGGTGTGAAAATAAAGCAGACAAGACCAGAAGCATGAATCTGCCAGGAGCCATTTCAGTGGCTTCATTTCATTCACTCAAGAGAGCCTGGTAGCCTTGGAGGAGGAGAGAAGTCGGTGGTTTGTCTAGAATTAGTAGAACAGGGTGTGGTGTGTGAATGCATCTCCAGGAAGGAAAAAGAGAAGTCAGTGAAGACTGGTTTGGGCAGGTGAGTAGAAGGTAGTAGTCTTCAGTAGCAGGAGGAATGTAGAACTAGGGCGAAGTGAAAGGGATCTGTATGCAGATAAAATGTCTCCTAGGTGGATAAGAATCCAAAGAAGAGAATCACAGCTGAGGTACAGATTTGGGAATCATCAACTGTAGAAGTTATTAAAAGCCATCTGCCCATAGAGGTCTTCTGTTCTATTCTGTAAGGCCCTAAAATTGCATCTGACCACTCCTGGCACTGTTTAGTACCATTCTCTCCCTGGATCTCCCATCTGGCTGGGTGTTCCGAGGAAAGTACGCTGATGAAACTGGATCATACCAGCTGATGCTGACATGAGAACAGAGCCAGTCATTTCATCTTTTGAGAGACAATGGTGGATATGAAAATATCTCAGTTTTTAAAATATATGTGTCATGACATTTAAAAAACAATCTTTATTGTGATGTTATGTACAAAACAAAACTTACACATTTTATGTCACAGTTTTAACAAAAGTGTACTCATAAGTGCCCTAATTTTTTAATCAAATTTTTAAAAATCTATGTGCCAAGCCTGAGACCTCTGCTCAAGAATGTTATGGAAGAAATTGATAAGGAATCACGATGCAGTTTGGGAAATGAAATAGAAGATTTCTGTGGGGCTCAGAGGAGGGGGACTGGACAAGAAGGGCTTCTCCCATGAGCCAGCCCAAATGAGGCAAGGGCAACAGGAAAGCGGGGTGATGCCATTGACCAGGGTAAGGGAGATCTGTGTATAAATGATCCAAACATGGTTTTCAACACTTTCTGCCAAGTGCTCTATAACTCCGATAATGTTAAACACTTACCACCATTAACAAATTCAGCAAACTCTAATCAAAACTTTAATGCAGGGTATAGATAAATCACTGAGTCCTAAATTCAGCAACTCTTTTCCTTCCGTATGTTCACATTTTAAAATGGTTACTCAAAGTGAAGGTGTTTTGTTTTGTTGCTTTATTTTGTTTTGTTTTGTTTTGTTTTTTGAGACAGGGTCTCATAGTTCAGGCTGGCCTTGAACTCACTATGTAGCCCAGGCTGGCCTCAAAATGCAGTCATCTTGCTTCAGCCTCCCAAGTGCTGGGATTACAGGTGCCCACCACCACATCTGGCCAGTTACTCAACGTTTTTAAAGTGAACCCTAAAGTTTGGAGGCTTTAAGATTGTGTGTGTGAGCGCTAGGTGACATGCCACTTAGGAATCTAGGGCAGCAGGATTGCCTTGAGTTCAAGGCTAGCCTGGGCCACTTGAAAGTTTGAGGCCAGTCTGCACTATAAAGTGAGACCCTGTCTCAAAAAAAAAAAACAAAAGAAAAACCAATTATATCTCTTTTATATCCTGGGCTTTTATTTGGCATCACAGTTTTTTAAATGTTTTCATTAGTTATCAGTACGTATCCACTGGAGCATCTGCTGCATGCTAGGCACTGACCTGGGGACAAAGCAGGAAAGACACTTGTCTCCATGAGCAGTCATTAAACAAATACATATGATTTTGACATAGCCTCTAGTAATTACTGCTCTGGACAAAGCAAAACATACGGTGTTGTGGAGAGTGACTGTGTCAAGTACAGGAACTTACAATTTTAGATGAAATGATCAGAAACCCCTTAAATGGAGGAGTCAGCCATAGAAAAAGCCAGGTGCAGAGGAAGTAGGAATCAGAAAAGCTTAAATAGGTATGTTTAGTGAAAACTTGGTCATTAGCTTTTATACCTTGTGATTTATATGAGAGAGTTTAGGAGCCGGGGGTTTAGGTCAGCGGCACAGTGCTTGCTTGGCAAGCATGAGGTCATGAGTTCAATCCTGGTACCGAAAACAGAGAGAGAGAGAGAGACAGAGAGAGAGAGAGAGAGAGAAACACTAAATGTTGTACTCTTACCTGAGTGGAAAAAAAAAAGAAATATTTTAAGCCAGAGAAATTACTAGAAACATGAAGAAAACCCTTCTCTCATTGTGTGCATCGCCACTGCTTAGTGTTTGATGTCAAGGCTGAATTTACATGGTTTATACATTTCTATTGGTTGAACCTAGTGTCCCTGTGATTTCGTAGTTGTCAGCTGAAGAAATTGCAATTTTTCAGTTTCCTACTTCAATGTTTATCTTCATGCTTACACATAGTTTGAAGTTAGCTGTTGTGTATTCACCGCACAGTATTCTTGTAAAGTTGGTTCCAGAACCCCTTCTTCCCACCATTAGTTCTCTAGTCTTTACATCAAATGGCATTACATTTGCATGTAACCTACACGCTTTCTCCCATGTACATACATTAAATCAAGTCTAGATTGCTTATAATATCTAATGAACGCTATTTAAATAAGTATCATATTCTCCTATTCAGGCAACAAAACTAGTAAGTATTTAGTAGGGACGCAGTTTTCCCCCCAAATATGGTAGATCCATGGTTATTGAATTTATAGATGCAGATCCTGCAGATATGGAGGACCAACTGTTCCTAATTAATACACACTGAAAATAGGCCTAGATAAACCATTTTATATATGAGCCAGGGATTTGGCTGAGTGATGCAGTGCCTGCCTGGCCAGCATGAAGTGCTACATTTGAGTCTCGGTATCCTCTGCCCACACGTTCCAGAGATAAGCAAACCAGCTTGCATATGAGATCTTTAAATATTGCTCTGCTTGTCCCTGGCAGTTGACCTAAGAGCCCATCTCACCACTTCCACCCTACCCCTCTTTCATTTTAGCAAGTCTGGTGATAATTGAATTGTTTTTACTGTAGATGTGCATTTATCCATGCACCAAGTGAATATGTGTCAAATAACATGCTAGTTGCTAGTCTTATTCACAAAAAATGTGAATCAGATAGGAATTTGGACCTCTGAAATGTTAATTGTGGAGCATGTTGAAACTTACTGTAGAAACCACAAGAATGTCAGCGCCACCACCCCCACCCCCGTCTGTTCACTAAAACAATGCCAGCTCATGGTGTACAACTCAGTTATTTCATTAACAAAAAGGTGTTTCTGTATGGTCTTTAGAATTGACTGGCTTTACTGTAACTGTTTTCTCTGGTTTTAGACCTGTAGATTGTACCTGATTTTACTGTGACAGCTTTCAAGACAGAAGCCTCCCTGTGCTTTTCTTTCAGTAAATTCTCCAGACTGACATATGACAGTCTGGACATGAGCTATGGTACACACCTCTAACCCAGCTACTTAGGAGGCTGAGGCCGGAGGATTGTTAAATTCGAGGCCAATCTGAGCAACACAGCAAGACTCTACCTCAAAGGAAAGCATAATAAAATGAAATACGCTGGGAATGTAATTCAGTGGTGAAGCACTTGGCCTAGCATATGTAAAGCCCTGGCTCAATCTCCAATACCATCAAAAATCATAATAAAGCACCTAGATACTTTATAAATAAATATTCTCCTTGGTGAAAGCATCACTTATTTTTTTCCCTTAGCAAGGCATCAATATCTGTTACCTTCTTTTGGGCATCAGATTTTTTTGTTTTTAGACTTAGAAATGAAAAGAAAAAAAAAAAAGAAAAAAAAATTCACTGTACCTTTTTTGTTGTTGTTGTCTTTCTTTCTTTCTTTCTTTCTTTTTTTCTTTCTTTCTTTCTTTCTTTTCTTTTCTTTCTTTTTTTGAGACAGGGTCTCACTGTGTACTTCAGGCTGGCCTTGTAGCCCAGGCTGATCTCAAACTCAACATGATCATCCTGCCTCAACCTCCAGAGTGCTGGGATTACAGGCGTGCACCACCACACATGGCTGCACTTTTTTTGAGTTTAGGATTTTTTTCTTTGTAATTCCTCTTTGGGCTAATGCCTGTTTAGGCCTTCGTTGTTTCCTAGAAGTATTTTCTGTAGCGTATGGGGTTTTAACTTCAAATATGGGTTATTTTTCCTGTTTCCTTACATCATAGCTGCTGAAGTTATTTTGAAATCAACTAAAGTCTTGTGTTAGATTTAGGTACTTATAATAACCATTACAGTGGAGAATCAGCACAATGCTAGCAAACTATTAAAATAGATTATTTTTGTTGAATAAAGGAAAACTCATACAGGTTTCCTATTTTATTGAAAGTGGATCTTGATGATAGCTTTGTACCTACAAGTGAAATTTGACTTTCATATTCATTATCAGATTAACTGATTCACAATGTCTTCTTCACAAGACTTTTATTATCAGATCAGGTACTACCAGGTATTAGAACAGAATAAAAATAACATTTGCTTTTCTAAAATCCACTCTAAAAAGTTGTATTACCATCATTTAATTTTCTTTGTTATAATAGTTTCTTTCTTCTGAAAGATTGTGTTTTGTTTTGTTTTGTTTTGTTTTGTTTTCGGTACCAGGGATTGAACTCACAACCTCATGCTTGCCAGGCAGGTGCTATGCTGCTGAGCTAACTCCCAGGCCCCTGAAAGATTGTTTTTTACAAGCACAATAGTTACTCTATTTTTATAGCCACTTTCTTATACTTTGCCTATGTGGTTTGTTTTCAAACTTTATTTCCACAGAATGTTTAAAACTTCAGTTGCTGCTTCTCATGTTTCTGCTTTTATTGGCTAACTGTTTATGTGATATTTTGTGAAATCAAACAGTTTTATAATAAATCTGATTCTGGATTATTGTATTCACTTCTAATGGCATATATGGTTCCCTCCACTTCCACTCCTAGTTATCACTAGACTAGCACACTTTTTACACCTGGCTTAATAAATTGCATTTATAGGGGCTGGGGATTTAGCTCAGCAGCATAAACGCCTGCCTGGCAAGCATAAAGTCATGAGTTCAATCCCCGGTACCAAAAAAAAAAAAAATTGCATGTATATTAGATGTACACACCCACCTGCCCACTGTTTATGTATCAGAAGAGGATTACCAGATACACCGTGGGCCTTTGGTCATCTTTATTAGTAAACAGTGCTTTTAAAAAATCTGTTTTAAAATACTTTTTCATGAGATATGCATTTTCTTCACCATCTTCTCTGTATTTATTATTGAGCTTGTTTTCCATGTACCAACTCTATATAAAATTAAATAGTACATATTTTCTATCTTCAAACAACTTACAGCATCTGAGAAAATTCATGCCATTAGTGACTTCTGAGATAAGCTTAACATGGAGTTATGAAGAAATGATTTATTTTAACAGAAAGAAATAATTAAATTTGCATCTAAATTTACTTTCCTCTCATGTAAACTTTTTTCAGTTTTCATCTTTGCTTTATAATATGTAATATATGTTAGGTCAGTATCAGAATGTATAAATAAATTACCTGTCTTAGTGATACATGCTCAAAATTTTCACCTTCAGGGTGTAGGATGTAAACATTTGGAGAGTGTTACCCAAAAATAAGCCTAAATCAAAATATGCTCAGATGACTGCTGTCCTGGCAGGACCATGAAGTGCTGTAGGAATTCACACCATTCCTTTGCTGGGCAAGGGGCTGCAGAGCACAAGGAACGTGGTGATGGAGTTGCTTGCAGGATCCCGAGCAGCTTTCTTAAGCATGATGCCGTAACCTTGCCTTTTAGATTGGATCACTGAAATACAGTGACCAATTTGTTAATAGATAAACACCCTCAAAATTACAGTCTTCTGTTTGGTAATGGCTACAGTAATAAAAAATACACAAGCCTTTGTTATTTTGAGGCCACTGTTTCTCAAGAATAATAATTTATACTTTAGCTGCCATTTTAGTAAATATACTAAAATAAAGGAATCTAAGGATGAGCTCTGTAAACTCCTTACAGGCAGGGACACTGATATCTGGGTGTCAGATGGGGGACTGACCGTTTCAGGAAGGTACTTGATGGTTAGTTAATGAACAGTCTGCCTGGGCAAAAAACCAACATGAGATGGGAGAAGAGTCAGTAGCATAACATTGTTCTCATAGCGTAGGGTTTAAGTATGTTTGCAATTAATTACTCTTTTGTCATACTTCAGCTTGCCAATTCTGTAACCCCTTGGGACATCTTGCTGAGCTTAATTGCAGCTGCCACTCATGATCTGGATCACCCAGGTGTTAATCAGCCCTTCCTTATTAAAACTAACCATTACTTGGCAACTTTATACAAGGTTAGTACAACCTTACCATCTACATTTAATGTTTTTTTTGTTCTAGAATAAATGTTTCATGCTTTAAAGAAATGAAAATAGTGAAAATAAATTCTCAATAAATGTTAGAATTTTATCAGATTAATATTACTGACCCATAATTCTTCATGTTCAGAAAGATGCTTGCCATTAAATAACTAAGAAATGTTTCTTGTAGAATACCTCAGTACTGGAAAATCACCACTGGAGATCTGCAGTGGGCTTATTGAGAGAATCTGGTTTATTCTCACATCTACCATTAGAAAGCAGGTAGGTTGGATTAACACAAATTGAATTTGTAGTCAACTATGGAAATTAAGTTGGCAGAGCAATTTATAGTTTTTATAACTATAGTGTTATGTTAAACTGTTCCACAGTTTCCAGGTTGTTAAATTTAATCAATAAATTACAAATTATAAATGTAATTATAAGTTGTTATATATAAAATAATTTTTAAAATGTCAGTTTTAATTATTTAACCCTATTCAGTTGTTCAGTCAGTAATATTTTAATAGATTTTTAAATGAAAGACCATTCCATGAATTTTAGTACTGTAAATTTACATCGGTACTCTAAATATACATCGGTTCAATGATCATTTAGTATTTTTGTATATCGATAGATAGTACATTTTTCCACTTTATACTTAGCTGAATAAACCCATAGGGTAAAATGCACAGGAGGTAAACATTCTCCATAATAAGTAGATTGATTAAAATCTATCTTTGGAAACTTTCAAAGTGGATAAGAAAGTAAACATAATGTTTATATCCTTGAAAACATAGTCTTAAAGACATTTTTGGAGCTATAGGACAAAATAATGAATCAACAGAATAATAAAATATTTTTTAAAATAATGTTAAATAGGCCATTTGGGGAGACTATCCAAAGCATTAATATAAACTAGCCTAACATGATGGGGATGCAGATATCTCACCCCACTGCCATAGCATTGTCCACAAACCAGAGCTTTTCCAGGTGACATGTTGAGAGAAGACTCATTGTAGAAAATGACAGCTGGGCATGGTGGCGCACACCTGTAATCTCAGCACTAAGGCTGAGGCAGGAGAATCACTGTGAGTTTGAGGCCAGCCAGAACTGCATAGTGAAACACCACCTCATGAAGAAAAAAAGGGAGAGAGAGAAAGGGAATGAAGACAGACAGACCAACATGTGGGTCATGCTCCAAGTCAAGCAAAAGGGTGAAGGATACAAATTGATGTTCAGATATTAAAATTTACACTTTTCTTTCCTCTTCCCTTTCATAATTTAAAACTACTTAAAACTGTTTTGTATAATGACTATAAGGAAAAAACTGGACTTTATTTTTTTATTTTTTTAACTCTTTATTTATAGTTACCATTTGGAGTATGACAATACTTAAGTAAAACAATTTCTTGCCATAGTACAGATATAAACCAACTAGCATTTGGATATTTAAATTATATTTTTTTAAGGCAGATTTAAATGCTGCTTCAACATTCAGTTTTTGTCCTGTTGATTAACCTTGTGTAATTCATAGACTTAATAAAAATAAAAACTTTAAAAATACTACTTAATAGCATATTTTATGTTTTTTTCATATGGGGCTTTTACTTAACCAATATTGTGCTTTAATATATTTGACAGCTCTTTAGTTACAGAAAGATTTGCTACTATAGCCTGTTAAAACAAAAGACAGGAAATTTTTTTGTTGTTTTTTTGGTTTTGGGACCGGGGATTGAACTCAGGAATGCATGCTTGCAAAGCAGGCCCCTTTGCCACTGAGCTAAATCCCCAGCCCAAGAGAGGAATTTTTTAAATGTGTTTCTCCTGTTACTTGACATGGGCAGTTTTTTAAATGACATAATATATTTGTTATTTGGGTTAACATGTTACCTTTTTCCTTACAGGTAGAAAATTTGGGTGTTCATATAGATAACTGATTCTTGAGTTTGACATTGAAAATTTAGTCAAATATAAATGTTACTAAATTGTTTAGTTGGAATTTCATTAAAATTTCAGCAGATATCGTAATCAAATTTTCGTCAGAACTTAGTCTAAAGTGGTCAGGTATTGAACAAGCTAGTATTCTCTCCATTTTCAGTCTCCTTTCTGCCTTTCAGATCTCAGACCCCAAAAAGAGAAACCAAAGTCGTTTACCTTCAGCAGACTTTTCCAGCAAAAAAACCCTAGCAAATAATTTTTTCAGACAACATACAATATTGATTTTTTTTAAACAAATAATTCCATCTTGGCTAGCAGGATAAAGGTACTCCTTTTGGAATGTTTGCATATTGGTACAAACTCTCTTGGTTTTAGTTTTGATTACTATGATAGTTATTTAATGCAATCTTTAAAATACATCTTTTGTGATAGATTGTAAATTAAATGGCAGTTACAGTATTTTAGGCCCCTTGGAATTATACATTCTGTAAATTTACAAGAAAAAACAACAATTATTTAATTAAAATTATTATATTTTTCTTTATATATCTCTAATTCTAGGCAACAAATGGAGACTCAGATAGGTGCTTTGATCCTAGCCACAGACATCAGTCGCCAGAACGAGTACCTGTCTTTGTTTAGATCCCATTTGGATAGAGGTGACTTATGCCTGGAAGATGCCAGACATAGGCATTTGGTTTTACAGGTAAACTGGAGCTTGGAAAGATTGTATTTCCAGGGTTATCATGAGAATATTAGAATAAAAATGAAATATTACAGCATATTTTTTCAGAGTGGTTGAATCTGGAGGGAAAACTGAAGAGTTTCTTTCAATTAGTGTTCATGCTTTCTAGAACATCACTGACAAACCTACCGAGAAACCAGTGTTAGTGTTTTGGTATTTTTCATGCTTAAGGTTTCTTATAAAGCCGAGCATGATAGCATACATTTGTAATCCCAGCACTCAGGAGGCTGAGGAAGCAGGATCACTGTGAGTTCAAGGCCAGCCTGAATTATACAGTGAGACTCTGTCTCAAAAAATAAATAAATAAATAAAAGATTTTTGATGAAAAAGAAAATTTCTAATATATTTCCACATGTGAAAAATGGATAAGGAAATAGGTTATTTTTTTCTAGCTTATTAATTTATACTTATGGATAATCCCGTCATAGTGGCTGGCCGTTCGAGATTTCCAAGCATGGATAGCACAGGCTAGCAACCTTATAGTATCTTTGTCAGCATTGCTGGAAAAATAATGGGCAGACCCAGTAGTGTCATACAATTAGTATAAAAGACAATGATTTTCTGTTAAAGTACTTGCTTTTTCTTTCTTTCTTTTAAATTTGTTTGGTTCAGGGGAGTGAACCAAGTATTTCATGCGTGCTAAGAATGAACTATATTTTACTACTGAGCGATATTCCAGCTCTGCTCTTTTTAAAGTGTTCTTTTCCCCTTTATTAGAGTATACCACAATGTAGTACAACTGAGATACTACTTTTTTTCCTAACACAATGTTAATATTTTGTTCGCTAGATGGCTTTGAAATGTGCTGATATTTGTAACCCATGCCGGACCTGGGAATTAAGTAAGCAGTGGAGTGAAAAAGTAACAGAGGAATTCTTCCACCAAGGCAAGTTGCAGGATCAAGTGATAATTTTTCAGTTCATACTTTTGCCTCATATGAATAAAATAAGAACTCAGCCATTCATAAGAGTCTTGGAGTACTTGATATATTAAGCAGCAATTCACAGTAGATGTTCATGTAGTCAGTAATGTACAAATGGAGCATGTTTTGAAAATTAATGGTCCCCTTTTGGAATGATCAGATATATGTATATTTATTTATTAGCATGCGTAGAGTAGGCTAGAAAATGTGCTGCCCGGAAAGCTTTCTCTGAACCTGCTCCATCCCTTGTCATGTGTGGGGGTCTTGGCCAAATAAACACTGCTCTGTGATTCAGAGCTAGTGTGGTCATTTCATGCCACCTTCCTTTTTAAAAATCTAAGTTTTAAACTAATCTGCTGAGAGATTACAGTTGGAGGGAGGAGTAATACCAAATAAAAGTTTTTATTTCCTCCATTTAAATAAATATATCAATTTGGCAACCTTAAACTTTAAAAAAGAAATAATTGAGAAGCCATCCTCTCATGAGAATTAAATTTATTCTAAGGAATAACAGGTGTGGGGCTGGGGATTTAGCTCAGCGGCATAAGTGCCTGCCTTGTAAGCAGGTAGTCGTGAGTTCTATCCCCGGTACCGATAAAAAGGAAAAAGACAAAAAAAAAAAAAAAAGGAGTAACAGGTGTAACAAACACATTAGTTGTATATTTAACCAATAGATATGTTCCATTTTAACAATTCTTTTTTTTTTATTTGTAGGAGATATAGAAAAAAAGTACCATTTGAGTGTGAGTCCACTTTGTGATCGTCAGACTGAATCTATTGCCAACATTCAGATTGGTAACTATACATACTTAGATATAGTTTGTTATAAAGATGCCACTCATTTTATCAAGAAGTAAAATACATTTAAAATATGAAATACTAAAATCACACTCATTTCTTTTTAAAATAATTTAAGAAAATTTACCTTTGTTTTCCTTTGTTCTGACTCCTTCAGTCTATGCCCTGCCTGCCCTTCCCATCTGTCCCCTAGACTGCCATCTCTTGTCCTCCTGCGGAGGCAGTTAGGTCTTCCTCTTTCAGGCTTCTTCTGCAGTGGTTAGATGACTCTCAGACCCTTGCCTCTTCTTTGGTTGTACATTTTAAGGCCTTGCATGCACCTGGAAGCAGCACTTGAGAACTGTTTGTTGAATGAACTAATAGCTGATAGAAAGCACAGTGAAATGCCCTGTGATGGCAGGATTGAAGCTTGTAGGAAAATGTACAAAAGATCAATTACTATTATATGTACCAGGACTCGATTGTAAAGCAGAGAACAGTAAGGAGAAATAGCCCAAGAGAAGAATGTAGTTTTGGTTCCTAGTGTTGAGGGAGCCTTTGAGCATTGGGTTGAGCTTGGTGAAATGTGTACACAAACTTCAGAAAGATAGTTTCTAGAACATCAGAAGATGGTACAATCCTGTGTCATAACACTCAGAAAGGAGACCATGCTCAGAGTCATAATTCTCATGTTGTGATTGCAAAGATCCTTTCGGGGAGGAAAGCAGGTCATGACTGATTGACTGCAGCAGATGAGGAGGTGGAAGCAGGAGAGAGTGACACACAGGTACAGAAGCTGCAGGGAGGTCACACCCTCAGGAATGCCCAGACTGGTGCAGGATGCTGAGATTCTTTTTGGGAAAATAAATCAGTTCACAGACAGATCTGCTCTGTCTTGATTGTTAAGTAGGATGATTTTTAAATACAAAAGAATAGATGAAATGTGGCTGAAAGGAAATTGAACTGAAGATAGATGAATGGGTAGTATGTATACTCACTCGAGCTTCTTTACATAAATGTCTTTTTGCCTGAGTAAATTACTCCCTAGTTTAATATAAGAACTTGCAAGTGAGCTTTAAATATATATATATATATATATATATATATATATATATATATGTATATAGTTTATATAGCAAAAGCTTGGCCCTTTATGAAACTGATCCTCTTGAGATTATGGTTCTGTCAGAGTTGGACATTTCTAGAGTGGATTGTCAGAGGGACAGGAATAAGGTAAATGATGATGGCACTTGACATGTACTGACTCTACAACCACCCTAGGAGGCAAGTGCTATTTTAAGTATTCCTTTTTCAATTTCACAAAGTTTCAGTTTCAATTAACAAGTCTGAGGGCTGGCTTTAGACAGGTCTTTCTAACATCCAATCCGAGCCTCTTAACTAGTATAGTGCAACTAAACAGTGGTTACTCAGAGGCAGGATATTGTCAGTAAATGCAAGTCATGTTTAATATTTACTTCTTTGATATGAGTACTGGTTTTATTGAACAAGTACTGAATAAGAGTAAGGCATCGATGGGTAAAACATACTGTGATTTTTGTGCAAACCAAATCATGTAAGGCTGGTACAGATGATCCACAAGTGGTTGAGCAGCTATGCCTGCCGTCCTAGGTAGAGTTACCCCATACAGCTGGGTCTGCAGCCATGGCTCATGCATTTTTATTAAGTTTATGAGACCTAAATGAAATCGAAGATTGACATAGAACAAAAAGTGACAGCTAATTTGTTGGAGGTAACAGGCAATCCCCAAAGATTTCAACCAGTTGGGACAGCAGTAAGAATTAAGAAAGATGAGCCATGTAAAATCTATAATGATTCTGCGTTTCAGTGCAGAACATCAGCAGTTCATGACTTAACTGTGGCACACTGAAAAGACAGGACTTCAGATTACTAACTTACTAGGACTTGGATGTGTGAGGAGCACTGGAAACATAGGACTTCAGGTTACCAGCTCACCGGGACCTGCATGTATAAGGAAGACTGCCAAAGGCTGCTCTATTCTTTGACTGCAATAATGACATCTATATTGGTTGTGTCTTTCTCTTCACTAGATCACAAGCTGCTTGAGGGTAGAGATTTTGAGATCTTTTCACTGCCGTATTTCAGCTTCCTTAGAACAGTGCCTAGCTTATTGGTCCTCTACCTAACGTGTGCGTAAGGAATGAATCAAAGAAAGAAAGATGTATGGCAGATATCAGATATTCAGATGCTATAATTATATATTTTTAAAAAATTTAACCATCAGACTATGACACTTTCATAACTAAAAATAGTGTGAGCTAGTTGCTTTAAATCCAGTGGTATTTGCATTTTATGTTGACTGAATGGCATCCAGGTTGTCTGTGATCCAATGATCTTTTGCTGTAAGAAAAGTCTTAAATGTGAAGACTTAAAAACTGATAAATAAGCAGTGATAAGAATTTTAGGAAGGTGACATATTTGTTCTCAGTATACATTATGATTTGGTCAGCTGTTTTCTAGGTTGCTTCTTTTGGGCCCTGAGTTAAGTGAGATAAAATATGCACCAGAGTGCTTTATGAAGAATAGTGGTTTATAAACCTAAAGACAGACATAATCCTGAAATGACTGGTTTTCCTTTTTGACCTTGGATTAAGTGAATCAGTTAAATGAGTTGTTTGTAAAATAGAATCTTAATACAATTTTAGTGTTAACTTCAACAATTTTGTAAACCGATTTCCTTTATTTTTAGTTTAATTCTTCTCAGGAGATTTGGCTTTATAAATTGTGAGTTAAAAAAACATTCAACATAGTCCTGACCAGGAGTGAGCCTTGGGTCCCTGAGGGGACAGACTGTGCATCCTAGCTAGCAGCTCACTTCAATGCTAGAGTACAGCCTGTCCTTCCTTCCACTTGTCTTACTGGAACTGTCCCTTGAATTAGGTTCTTAGTATCCTTGAAGAATTGATGTGACCACTGTATGTCTGCTTAAGTAGAAAAATGTGGTTGTTCAGCTGAAATAATTAAAAAGGATTTGATAATGTTTACCAGTCTACCTTTATAGTCCCGTTGAGTTAAACAAATTCTTTATAGAAGACATGTACATTATACATACATATCTTTTGAAAAGTAAGATGTAAATATTGGAATAAGACTTAAGATTAACACTAAGTGCTTTTTAAAGTTTCAAAGCATATGTTAATAGTTATTTTCTCTCACTTTCTCAAGGTTTTATGACTTACCTAGTGGAGCCTTTATTTACAGAATGGGCCAGGTTTTCAGATACACGACTGTCTCAGACAATGCTTGGACATGTGGGGCTGAATAAAGCCAGCTGGAAAGGACTGCAGAGAGAGCAGTCCAGCAGTGAGGACACTGATGCTGCATTTCAGTTGAACTCACAGTTATTACCTCAGGAAAATCGGTTATCATAACCCCTGCCCCAGTGGGACAAACTGCCTCCTGGAAGTTTTTAGAAATGTGAAATGGGGTCTTGAGGTGAGAGAACTTACTCTTGACTGCCAAGGTTTCCAAGTGAATGATGCCAGCATTATTTATTTCCAAGATTCCTTCTGTTGGATCATTTGAACCTTCTTTTTAATTATAAGACCTGAACATAACAGCAATATGCATTTGGCTTTTGTGTGAAACCTTGAATATGCAAAGCCCAGCAGGAGAACCTGAAAGGAATAACAAAGGAAGTTTCTCAAGTTGTGCCATGTGCTTTTCAAAATATTCATTCTTCAAACTCGTTCTTCAAACTGTGAAACTTGAACTGAATATTTCAGCAGCAATCTCTTGGAATCCAGCCAGTCTGATGCAACAGTGTGTGTCTGTATCTTCCACTAAGTTCTCTGAGAAAGCGGAAATGTGAAGTGCCCCGCCTCTGCTGCCTCTGGCAAGACTCAATGTTTACAAATCAACTCTGAAAATCTCGGTTCTAAATTGCCTTGGAGCATGATTGTGAAGGAACCACTAAAAAATTTAAAGATCAGACCTTAGACTGCAGCTCTTCCCCCTGGTTTGCCTTTTTCCCCCTTCCTTTGGATGCCACCAAAGCCTCTCATTTGCTATATTTTATTTTGTGCACTGGAAACTGAGCATTTACCATAGAGTACCGCCAAGCTTTCAATCCAGTGCTATTTGGCAATGCAAATTTTTTTAACTGTTAAGTTTTTAATTTGGGGCGGGAGGGGAAGAACACCAATGTCCTAGCTGTATTATGACTCTGCAGTGAAGACATTGCATGTTGTTTTCACTACTGTACACTTGACCTGCACATGCAAGAAACAGGTGGAATGTTTAAAACACCATAATCAGCTCAGGGTATTTGCCAATCTGAAATAAAGTGGGATGGGGAAGTGTGTCCTTCAGATCAAGGGTACTAAAGTCCCTTTCGCTGCAGTGAGTGAGAGGTATGTTGTGTGTGAATGTATGGATGTGTGTTTGCATATGTTTGTGCATGTGTGACTATGCATGTGTCATGTTTATCCATGTGGGAAAAGATTGGAAATGTATGCTTTTATTTATTTTAGAATGTGACATAATAAGCAGCCTCACTTGGGGGAGGGGACGGGAGGTAAGCTGTACCAGATTGCTCCAGTTGCCTTAAACTATGCACAAAGCTAAGTGACCAAACTCCTCATTTTGATTTGAAAAAGTGCATTGTTTTCTTGTCCCTCTTTGATGAAACATTACCCTCTGAATGGGCCTTTTGATGTGAACAAACGTTTTCTAGGACAAAATTTAAGGACTAATTTTAAACTTAAAACATTCCACTTTTGTAATTTGTTTTAAATTGTTTTATGTATAGTGAGCACAACTGTAATCTAGTTTTAAGAGAAATCGGTGCTTTTAGTTCATTTGTATTTCCCTTGTTACTGTAAAAGACTGTTTATTAATTATGTTTACAGTTTGTTGCAACAGCCATTTCTTGGGAGAAAGCTTGAGTGTAAAGCCATTTGTAAAAGGCTTTGCCAGACTCATTTTAATATGTGCCTGTTGCTGTTAACTTTTGATGAATAAAAACCTATCTTTTCACATTTTTATCTTTGATATTTACCTTAAAACTCAATTCTTTGGGAAGAAAAACTTCAATCCTTTGGAAATCACAGTGCTTAATTACAAGTAAGTCCAAGTTAGCTGTTAGGCTCTCAGAGACTCATCAGAGGTTTATCCAACCATAGTTATGTGCAGGTACCGTCTTTGGGGTTATCTGCTGTTTTCTGTACCTTCCAAGTATGCACGCAGCCCTGTGTACATAGTTTGCACAGTCCTGACTAGTACATAGCAGAGGTCAGCTCTGAGTCAGGCCCTTGATTCCATAGCCACTGATTCCCACAGTTGGGAACTGAGTAAATCACCACCTTTGCAAGCACTAGAATATTAGTCATTGGCTAGTACACTGTCATTGGCTTTTTTAAAGATAATATGAAACAACCATTTAATTCTGGATTGACATCGATGTAGGAACAGTACCACCAGGCTTCTCCTGTATTTATTTTCCCAGGTCTAATTAAATAGAAGGGATATAGTATAAACTTTAAGGTCAAACATATTCTTCACTGAACAGAAAAGCAAATGTCCAGTAGAAATATAATAAAAGCCACTTAAATAATTTTCAGTTTTCTAGTAACTACATAAAAAAGGAATACATGGAATTTTAATAACATTTTATTGCAATATAGCAAAAACAATCATTTCAACAGGTAGTTTAAAAAAAACATGAGTTTGTTTTGTTTTGTTTTGGTACAAGGTATTTGAGATCAAGTGTCTATTTCACACTTCCAGCACATCTCAATTTGTAGTGACCACGTGTCAAGTACCCACATGTAGTTAAGTGTCATGTAGTTAAGTGACCACGTGTCAAGTATGCACATGTAGTTAGCAGCAGCCATATCAGACAGTGTGGGTACAGAGGTCTGAAGGGAACAGAGCTGAGTTGTTATCTGAGGAAAACCAGCTTTATGATCTGAAGTGATTATCACCTTGGCAAATCTGATTTGTTAAAGATCTGATAAGTTTTACAGGCTCACACATCATTTGTCAGTAGTACATGGAGAGTAGAACTCAGGGCATATTCATATTAACCAAGCTCAAAGTAATGTATTTTTTAAAAGACAGTCTCAACAATTTATAATGAGAAATGTAACTATCAGTCATTCTCTCCTTTTAGGCAAATCTTCTTGAGAAGCCAAACTGTGAACTGGGTGAGCGTGGATTCTGAGCAAGGGAAGCAAGTTGCCTCATATGTCTATCTCCGTATGGGATGCGTCTGTTGTCATCACCTCTGTGGACCCAGGTTGCCTCTTCCCCGATGATGCTAGAGATGCTCTGCCAGTTGCTTCTCCACACTAGCTTCTGATGGGCAGCTCCATTAGATACAACATCACTTTCAGCTGTATTTCAGTTGAGTTTGTCTAGGCTCCATTCTGCCTGTATGATTGCTTACTTCTTGTTCTGATTGTTTGTCTTACAGTTTAATAACCAGTTTCCTATTTGCACATTCTCAGGGACACCTCAGTGTTGCTTTCATCTTTCTGCTTAAACATATAATAAACTCAATGAAAACTTGCTATATATATGTATATATATGTGCATATGTATATATATGCACATATATGGGGATCACCTTCTTCTGTTGCCCTGTTTCTTAGACGTAACTTATATTCCTTGAACTGACTTTTCTAGAAATATTTTGGTTTCATTTTTTCTTTAAGCAAATATTACTGAACAGAATACAAAATCCACACAAATTTTCAAGATAAAACGAGATTTCAGAGAACTGGTGAGCATGTAGAAGCCCCTTTGGTCTCCCTGTCCAACATTTTAGTGGGGAGGATATCTGCTTTAGGGGTAAAAATCCTTGGAGAGAGTTCTGACAAGTCCCAGTTCAACAGTGATAAAAACTGGTTCCCTGTCATTATTTGTATTCACTGTAAATTCAGTTTCTAATGGTCCTCTTTGTATAAAAGAAGCAAAAGCTACATTTTATGTCTTTAGAAACCTGAAAAATATCCTTGTACCTGAGGTACATGTTAAGAGGTGCTAATAATTCCTTCAGATTCCAAAAATGGTCTCTTAAAATTTCCTCAGTGCTTTCTTGGCTTTTATTAAACTATTTTCTTAAAATTTTAAAATTTTCACATCGAGTTTCCAGTATCTTCAAGCATATATAAATATTTTAATGTATATTGTTTAAATTCCCTTCCAGTTGTGTCTGCCAATTGACAAAATACATATTGATCAATAATATACTGCCTTTATTAAAAGAAATGTACATGCTAGTGACCACAGCATCAACATACGTTTGAAACAGGGTAAATATAGACAAGACTTAACCTGCAGGCATTCCTTGCTAAGGACCTATAGCACATATGATTTGGAAGACCCGGAGCCCATAGTCTGTAGGAAGAGGGATCACTACTTGGGGGTGAACTGACAAAGGGCGCATATTGGGTAATCTGTCTTCCTGGTTCCTGTGTTCCATATAGGGCTGGTATAAATTGGGCCATCAATAAATGTTTGTTGAACAAATGTAGAGTTAATGTGTTCCCCTTTTAAAGAAATTATTTTGAAACTATTTGTGCTGAAGTCATGTGGTAAACAATAGGTGAGTTCCTGGTGTGCACAGAGCATGGCACTGGACACAAAAGGGCATTGAAGATTACTAACCATGGTCTATGTGCTTAAAAGTGTTTGCAAAGTATTATATAACACTGGCTGATTTCATGCTGTACAAAATGACTAAAGCATTGGAGTGCTATTTAGGAGAATGAACCAGTTTGGTTAATAATGAAAAGGATGCCATTTCTAGACACTGTTATATTTTTTAAAATATTTAATACTTTTAGCTTTCAAATTTGATTATGTTTTAAATATTCAGTATGATACTTTTAAAAGTAAAATACTAATTTTTATCAGTAACCTTCTAAAATGTTATACCTATAATGTGGAAGTTGTCCAAAGCTTGGTAGGATGGCAGAGTTTTTGGTATTAGACTTCTTATTGGCTGTTATGTAAGCCTGAAAACACTGGCTTAGTCTATCTCAGCCTTTTAACCCCATCAACAGTGTTTGTTAATAAATTCCATCTTGTACTTCAAGCTGTGCATCTGAGTTTTTTAAATTTAAATTTGAAGTATTTCTACATTACTGATGTGTCCTATGAAAAAGTTAGGAGGCTATTCCTAACTTACGTGTTGTTTATCTTAGCTGAAATTTGTGAAAATTATATAAATTTTGAAGACAATAAAGGTTTCATTTGCTCAGGTTGCTATAGCTAAAACAAAGAAAACAAAGGCTGTTTCTCTTTCACAGCTCTGGAGGCCTGGAAGCCAGAGATCAGTGTGCCAGGACAGTTGTGCTATGAGAAGACCTGCCAAGTTGCAAATTTTGCCAATTCAGATTGCATTCTCATGTGGCTGGTGGAAAGAGGATTAGCTCTTTATGAAAACAATCCTATCATGGAGCCTCCAATTTCAGGCCTAATTACCTTGCAAAGGCCTAATACCATCCTATTAGGAGTTTGGGTTTCAACAACGAGCAGGGAGAGGGTGTTATACAACCATTTAATTCCAGTGGTTAAAATTCCTAGGTATAGAACTGTACATGTAGTTTAGTGCTTGCCTAGCATCTTGAGACCCTGGGTTTGTTCCCTAGCCCCACTGCCACCACCAAAACATACTAGATAAATGAAATACTAGATAAAAATTTATATAGTTTTTGTTGTTTTTTGTTGAGTTTTTCTTTTTTTTTGAAACAGACTCTCACTATGCTTGACCTTGCAGCCTAGGCTGATCTTGAACTGGTGGCAAGCCTCCTGCCTTAGCCTCCAGATTGCTTAGGCGTGTGCCATCACAGCTTTTGAATTTCTAAAAGTCACCACAAAATAGAAGTTAGGTTTCTCTATCATGGGGGTCAGAGACTTGCTCTGGTGTGATCATGGTGACCACTCTTGTGAGGTCAGCCTCAGGAGCAGGGCCAGGATCCAGACATGATGAGGAAGTTACTTGCTGCATCGCTGTTTTCTTCCACACTTGGCTCTTGGCTCATCTCTTCTCTATCCTGCAATTTCTGTGTAGATGTTATAATATGGTTTTTAAAAAACATATTCTCTTAACTTTCAGCAAGTTAACCCATTTTTGAGCGGCTTCCTAACCTGCAAAATGCCTCTTAGTAAAAGTATGTACTGGCACTAAGTGCTAAATCAGTGTCTACTGTGAGTACTTTTAATTCATTTCCTCATAATACATGTATCAATTCATGGACTCAGTTGTACCGCGTGACATCCATACTAGCTCCTGATAGTAACAGCCTCATTTTTCAGGTTTCCTTATTCGGATTCCTGGAGAATAATTGAAACAGCTCATCAAGGCTGTGTAGCAGAGTGCCACAGTCTGCATTACCAGTGGTTGTTCTTGCAGTAGGGTAGGCCAAGAATAAAAGACTGCCTGGGCCACCTGATTTCCAAGGTGAGCACCTTATGTACTGATGTAGCCCTGCTGTTAATGCTATTACTTCACAATGACTTCCCAACTGCACCTCATCCATTTTACTCTTAAGATGATACCAGCTTCCACAACGTAATTCCCTGAAAGTACACTTTCTTCATCCTTTGATAAAAGCCATGTCTGGCTAATGAGGAACAATGGCCACTAGGCAACATTAACAGAAACTTGATAAAATTCCTATTGTGAAGAGCCTGTCCTGTCTCCTCAGATTAAGGCAACTAAAGATTGCCTTAAGACAACCATTTACTCTCCTAAGAATTACTCATGTTTTTGTTTTTCGTTTTTTTTTTACTTCTATTAACCTAATGGAAAGAGCCCTCTGACCTTTGTAAGGAAGTATGAAGAATCTTACCAAAAGAGAAAAGCTGAGAAGGTACAGCTGTGCAACATCGTGAACTAAGGTCAACAGTCTCAGAAGGAAATGTAGGATTTCTGGGTCCTTACTTGGTCATGCTAGTTTTATTCTCCCATCTGATCTCCAGGGCTAGCATCAAAACCAATGGAAAGCTTAGCCTGCACATAGTTTTTAAAGAAGTCTAAGATGAATCTAAGGCATAGGTTCAAGAAGTAACTCAGAAGGCTGGTCTCTACAGGAGGAAGGAGGACAGTGACAGGCCCTAGGAAAGGATGAAGGCTCATGAGACCCAGTGTCATTCTGCTCAACAATTCTGAGTTGAATTTATAGAGTAAACAAAATTTAAACTTCTGTCTGTCAGAGACTATCATACACAGAGTTTTTGGAGAAGTTACAAACTGGGTTTTCCAAAGTGTGTTTCTGGTAGCTACTATCTTCTGTCTTCCTCTTCACTTCTGAGACACAGACTCATAAGATTTCTTAGCATAGTAAGATGTGTCTTATGAAGAAGGAAGGGCCTGTCACTGAGGAGGCAGCCAGAGTGAAAGGCGCAAAGTTCTGCCTGTCCCACACCAGACATGTGAAAGTGAAAGCATAAGATGACATTCTTTCTAGGGAGCTAGAGATCACATGTTGCAGGAAAAAAGATCCTATTAGAAATCAAAGACATTATGTAAAATAAGGCAACAATAACTTAGTACTTTAATATTCATTGAATGAGTCCAGAATTATTTACATTCAGTCCTCAGTTATTTTTGAGCTATTACTCTTTTTAAAAAGAGGATGTCACTTTGCCAGGATCACATAGGCCTCCAGGTCCAGCGCTGACTCTTAGTATCTCTTTCTATAAAATGAGGGTCGACAAACTAGACAGTGGACAAAACATCACACCAAGTCAGTTACCTCTGTGTGCTTTCACTATAAAATGTAGAAGAGCTCTTACTCAGATATTATGTTAAGCAGGAGCACTGCAAAGTGAATAAGGTAGAGGTGGGAAGAGAGAAAACAGGTCTCACCAATCCCAAAAACGGTTCTGGGTTTCAGAATTCTAAAGAAACTCAGGTATTTCCTGTGTTAATGCTGAGATCTCTTTAAGACAAATAGTGAATGAGAAGTGATCCAACTCATTTTAAGAACTATATTTCCACTCGAAAGAAGCAACATATGCAATGTAAGTCTTCTCTGTTTAAAAGAAAAATACACAGGCAGTGTGGTCCATGGAGAATTAAAAAATAGTCTGCTTTATTTTAAAATAGTTACTTCCTTATATTGGAGCACTAGCCAAAATTCAATACTAATACAAATACAAATTTCTTAGGAGGCCAAAATATGTCAGGCAAATGTTTTTAATTTCTTAGAGACAGAATTTTTAAGCCATTTTAAAAAATTAGCAACAATATACATTGACGTCAACATTCCAAACATTCGCATTTAGGCTACATAACCAAACCATATCAATTGCTTCAAATAACTTTTGAACTACTTAGAACACACCAGGCCGTGACCCATGTCCCACCCCACAGCAGCCTTTACTATAATCATACAGGGGAGGACAGGGCCCTGAGTGGGCATGGGGATGTAGGGCCAGAGACCTGAGCCTATCAAGACTCGAGTCAGGGGAGACCCCCAAACCTCGCAGCATGGTCTGGACACTTGGATCCCTTGGCACAGCCAGGGCTCCCCAGAGGAGATGACGGGTGTCAAGCACATACAAAGGCCTGGCCTGTACGCCTCAAGGGCCCTAAAGGCCACCAGCCACCAAAAGATTTCAAGCAAGGGTGAAGTTGAGAGAAGTGGGGCAGAGCTGAAAGGACCATGCAGCTCCTCGAAGCTGACAACAGAACTACACAGGGTCCAGACTTCTATGACAGGTCCAGGCCCGAAAGCATAAAACCTGGACGCAGACAGGGATCTGTAGACCCATGTTCATAGCCACGTGATTCACAAGAAGAGAAAGCCACACAAACTGATGAACAGAAGTGGTGCAATTCCTGCCATGTAGTAGAATATCATTTACCCTGGAAGGGGAGGAAGGCCTGACACTGCTACAGCCTAGACAAATTTGATACTGCACTAAAACCAGCCAGTCCCTGAGGACCCCACTCACAGGAGATTCAGAGATGCCAGGGGACAGGGGTGGGCGAGGGGTAAGGGGTTGTCTAACAGAGCAAGGATGAGGAAGGCAGAGGTGGGCCAGTGGTACAGACTGCACACAGTACGGAGGGGCTCAGGGCCAAAACGGGAAATTTTACGCCAGGTGTATTTTATCACAATAAAAAATAACATTAAAAAAACAATATATTTCAATAACTTAAAATGTCTATCTATAATTTACCATCTCTTCATCCTCCCAGGAAGTACAACTTTTCCATAAATTTAAACAACAAATTCAAATATTTACCTATGTAGAGATTAACTATGGCTGAGTTTATCAGAGTCATGAAAATGTACTAAGCATTTTAAAATGGTCACTTGTACTAAGTTCTTACAGGCCCTAAGGGAAAACAGTTTTCACTTTGAGACAAATCCTCATTAAGCTGCTCAGATTCTAATTCTCCACTTTATTTTTTTTTTTTTTTTGCAAGACAAGATCTCATTATGTAGTTCAAGTTGACTGAACTCACTATGTAGCCCAGGGTAGTGTCAAATTTATAGTGGTCCCCTTGCCTCAGCCTCCCAAGTGACAGGCTAATAGGCATGTACCACCACATCCAGCTTCCACTTTCTAATAGCACCTAAGGTTTTATATGGTGAAATACAATTTCTAGAACAGCACAGGGACCAATAACAGTAATTCATAGGAAAGTCATGCACCTACTTAATAAAATTTCCTTACAAATAACATTAATATTTTCACCAATATTTTAAAAAATTGAACTCCACTATGCTGATGTCTCCAGAAATATTAACTCAGCAGTACGTCACTTAATGATGCCATTTATTAAACTGAAAAGAAAGAACATAGTACATTCTGGTTTCTACCTAAAAAGTAATTAATTCAATCATCTGTCACTGCCTGTAAACTATATTTGTCACCTCAGCACTGGGTGGCAACAAGGGGCAAGCCAGCCTTCCTTGTCCTCACCTTTGCTCTACTGGAAAGCATTTCAGGGTCTCTGCAGCAAACACTACTCAGCTCCTATGCGAAGCCCACCTTCAAACCATGGGCGCACATCTAAGATGGAATTCTACTCAAGGTAAAAAGAGTCCAATTTCAGATATTTCACTTCAACAACTTGGGTTATACCAACTGTTCCATCGCTGAACAGTAAACGATACTTGAAAATGAATGATGATAATAGTACCTCACTGCCATCATTAATTTTTACATGAACTGTTTTATATCCAGATATATAAATATAAAACATTTATAAGATCAATTAGTGTTAAGAGTTTAAAATGTGTAACACCACAAATGTCTTTTTCTATGTTCTGAAGTCTTACAAATGTTTTCAATCTGAACACCATAGCTATGTATCAAAAACATCAGAACCAAACTTATAGTGCACTCATTATTGCTTAATCCTCTAGGTTAAAAAAGAAACCAATGAATACTAAAGGTATTTACTAAATAGTGCCGATTCCTACTACCCAAACTCAGCCCTCACAAAACAGCAGCTGAACCAGGATAGTCTCTCTCAGTTCACTGTTCATCAGGAGTTAGAAACATTTTCAATTAGAGCCTTCATTTTTCCTGTAGACTTCAACATATGTGGCCCAAACTGAAAAAGAAACAAATAGAAGGTATAAAGACAGATATTAGTGCTTGCAACAGTAATGCTGTGCCCCCCTCCAAAAACCAGATCACAGAACTAAATATGTTCTACATTTGAAAAAAACCAAGCAGCTCTCAGTAATAGTAAAAGCTTTAGGGGCTGGGGATTTAGCTCAGCAGCATAAGCACCTGCCTTGCAAGTAGGCAGTCGTGAGTTCGATCCCTGGTACCGATAAAAAAAAAAAAAAAAAGAAAGCTTTATGGATAGATTATTATAAACACAAGACATACAAACAAAATGAAAGGCAGTGAGGTAACCAAATTTCTTCCTAGAAAAGAAAATTATAATCATCTCAATAACACTCTTATTTCAGTCCAATTTTCTCAACAGAAGTACAAAGTTTCCCTTGCAATGTATAAAGAGTTTCAAGGGAACCACAATTTGATGTCTACCTCTCTGGAATAGTTAAGCACAATATACCCCTATGAAAGTTAATATGCATAATGGGAGTGTAGAAATTACCATATGAAAGCCCCTATGCAATGCGCTAAATCTTCACCCATGATTTGATGCACATCTTCAACGCCCACATCTCAGCTCTCACCCCCTTCAGACTGTCTTCAGAACGCCCAAAGAAAATGATTATTGCTTTGTTTTCATTTTTTGAGACATAGTCTTACTATGCAGTTTGGGCTGGCCTCAAACTCACAGTAATTCTCCTGCCTCAGCTCCCAAATGCTGGGATTACCGGTGTGCACCACAACACCCAGGCCAAAGAAAGTGATCTTGCTTTGAGTTTACATACCACAACACATACACAGTTCTATGATAAAAACCCTATTATACTGACTTTCACGTCATTAACCATACATGTAAATGAACCCTGCATATTAGAAAACAGTGGAGATTGATATCCATCCAGTGAGATCCAAAGTTAAACTTTCTTCATGTTCTTTAAATTCTCAAATAAACAGCTATCACCATTATAGTCAGGAAAATAAAAGTATAACTGTTAAAAAAAATGTCATCCTGCAGCTAACTGCAGTCTACTTGTAGGTAGGGACTAAATCACACATCCCAATGAATCTTGCAGAGGACACATCCAATGACTAGCAAATGTAGAGGCTCACTTATGGGGTGCACTGCCACATAACAGTAAAGAATCTCAGCTAATACACACCAAAGCAGTCTTTGAGGTGGTCTCTGATTCAGACTTCGGAACTCCTTTTTCAGCTTCACCTTGGCCACTGCTTTCATACCGATAAGCAAACTTCTTTTTCAGAGCCTCTGCTATGAGAGCAGCAGGGTCAGTAGTATCCACTGGCTTGGGCTTTCCATCTTGCTCTGACCTTAGAGAAGTGAACAAAGAGACAAGTAGATATGCTGGCATCTCTCAGGGAAGCACTCTGTTGGTCTTTATCTAGTGGACAAAACACCTCTAGCACCACAGTCAATAATAACACTCACTCACAAGCATTGCTAGCAAGGAGTCTGATAAAAGGCGATCTAGCCCACCACTTGCCTGTGGTCTCCTTCAGGGCAATTAGGGTTCTACCTTACATGTGTGTTCAGTGTCTACCCACACTTGGATGCATAAAACACCTTTACTGAACTACTAAGCAGTCATAATATAGACTTTATATGAAAGGGTAATACTTAAATGGGAAAAATAAAAAATGACCTGAATTGCTTGTTTTACTACTATTAGCTACTATGCATAGGAGGAACCAATAAGGTCCACTTTTTTTTTTTAATTAAAAAATGCTAGGCTGGGGACAAACTCAGTGGTACAGTGCTTACCTACTATGCATAAGGCCTTGGGTTCAATTAAAAATTACTCATGGCAGTCAAGAAGCCTGGTGCTTTAGTTTCATAAAACACAAGTGGAGAAGAGCAAGAAACACCCTTACCTCTTGACTGACCGAAGCTTTACACTGTTCATATCTTTAAGGATCTCTAGCATATTTGGCATGTCAGATTTCTTTGGGTTGTTCTTAGCCAAAGTCTTTCCAGAACTGCCTTTTTGCTCTCTACGTTCTTTAATCAGATCAATAGCAGATACACTTTGGTGGAGCCCCACTGGAAGGGGTGGTGGTGGTGGAGGTGGAGGTGGAGGAGATGGTGCTGTAGTAGATGTGGTAGAATCTAAGTAACCTACAGAGTAAGGAAAAATAAACAATCCTGCTGGTAATGGACAAGCAAAACACAGTCTTTTAAAAAAGCAAACAATGTTAAAGACTATTCTTAAAAAGAATCTCAGTTATGTCATAAAAAAGCAGTTTTCAGTTACTTTGTGAGAAATGCATAATCTGAGCTATTGTATCAAATGTCTGAGCAATCTAACTCTTCAATGGAAAAGTCCCATTTAACAGGAGTGTTTTTGTGGCCTCAAATTCTCAAGTTTGACTGTAACACAGTACATGATCACTTTCATCAGAAAACATAAAGCAGTTTTTACCACACAAACATCTCTAATTCATAGTTTGACAATTTAGCACTACTACAACTATCAGAAAAAAACTACTAAGTTTTGTTTCATTTAAAGTTCATGTTCCTATGGCAGGATTTTGTGATGCACATTTGTAATTTCAGCATGCGGGAGGATGAGGTAGCAGGATCATTGTGAGTTCTAGGTCACCCTGCACTACAAAGTGAGCTCAAAACCAGCCTGAACTGCAATAGTGAGACCCTGGCTCAAAAAGACAAAAACAAACAAAACAAAAAGGTTATGTTCATGTAAGATGCATTAAGCATTGAAAGTTTATACTGACTGTATGTATGGAAGATTTTTAGATTCATTATTGAACAAACTTGCAGAAGGAGAAAAAAGTGTTATGCCTAATTTTCAAAACCAGAAGTAATCCCAGCACTCAGGAGGCTGAGATAGGAGAATCGCCGTGAGTTTGAGGCCAGCCTTTGCTACATGGTGAGTTCAAGTCTTGGCTGAACTATATAGCCAAACTCTGCCTCAAAAAGCCAAAAAATAAAATAGGCAATGCTCTTGGGACACCCTCCTGTCTCTGAAGAGCTATTCCTATTCCTCAATAATTCTACTACTAAAATAAAAAAGAAATAAAAAGAAATTTAGAGTTAAAATGCTATTAAATAAGGACCTAAAATTAATCTGCCTGCATAATTAGAAGTTGGAGAGTTACTACATGAACTGTATTGATGGAGGAACAAAGGAAATAGCAGAAATGCAATAGTTTTAATCAAAAGACTCAAACAAAAAGATCACCTAAACATAAATTCCAAAATAACTATTTATAGGATTTTTCCTAGTCTGCCAGAAGAGGGAGATGAAGCAAAAGAAAACAGCAATTTAAAGAGAAGGGGAAAAAAAAAACTTGGGCTGAGGATTTAGCTCAGCGATACAAGCACCTGTTTGGTAAGCACAAGGTCATGAGTTTGATTCCCAGTACCAAAAAATAAAAAACAAACTTTCATATTTCAAGGTTCATGCAGTTTATTGAAGGAATACCTATTATCTCTCCACTGCCCAGTGTCCACAATGCTTTCACACACCATCTTGTCCCGGTTGAATGAGGATTCCAAGATAGCATGAGCAGAGTGACCCAGAAGCAGGATACCTAATCATTCTCATCCTTTTGATAATTAATTAATAATGAGACTATCCAGAACTTGGGAACAACAGGAAAAACAACTGCTATCTGCCAACAGGTTAGCAGGCTAGGATTTCAAGTCTATACTTTCTTTCCCAAAGAAGAAATAATGCTAATTAAAGTAACAGTATTAGACCAACAATGAGAAGACCTGTATTTAGTTTTCACTCTCCACAAAAGGACAAGGCACAATCAAAAGTAGCTTCTGGGTGCAAAGCACATTTTAGATACTTTATCCCCTGCCCTCACACTGTAACTCAGTAACACAGGTACTACTATGCCCATTTTAGAGAAAAGGAAGTGAAAGATCAAATGCTTCCTCAGGACACGCACACAGTACATAGCATGTGGCCCAAGTCTTGCCATAATCCCAGGCTCCTTTCACTAGACAGAAATCCACGGGATGAGCTCATGTTAACAGAGGTGGGGTGATTATTACAGACAGCTAAGTTCTTCATAAGGAAAACATTCACAACAGTAGCAGCTCAATAATTCTAGTGTTTTCCAAAGAGATTTCCTATTCATCCTCTCTGACAGCATTAAGATTGTTTAAAATACAAAAAAAAAAAAAAAGATCTCCCTAATCTTTACCAGGTTCTGCACTGGACAGGCAAGAGCATGACATCTGATTTTCAAACTGTAAGAGCTATTACTTTCCTAATAAATCATGAATTAAATGGCATTCTCCTAATTTCTAGTTTCTAGTTAAGACAAATACAAAGCATACAGACCTGCAGTAAGATTTTGCTGCTCTTGCAGGGTCACAATTTTAGCAATCTGAGCTCGGAGAGCAGCAAGTTCATTTTCAAGTGCACAGATCTTCTGTAATGCTTCTTCATTTGCCAGGACTGTAGTCTTCGGTGGAGGCTCTTCTTGGGACAAATTTGGTAAGGAAATATGCCTGGTTGGGGGCTTCTCAAACAAAAGGTCATCCTGAAGTGGCAGGCTGGATCTGACCTCTGTCCTGCAAGGAAAGGGTGGTTTTCACAGACTTTGTAAGGCATTATGAGAAATCACTACCCAATAAGGAGTACCACAGCATAACATCCACAAACCACTTTTCAGGTAGAGATCTTAAACAGATCTCCTGTAAGTGTTAACAACAGCAAAGTACTTGTCAACTTCATTAACTATATACCACACCTGGGGCTTTCACTGTCACCATTCTTAATCCTAATCTCTACCAACATTATCAACAGGTGTAACCTGTTCTAGTATTCCGACAAATGGTCTGCTGACTCAGGTTTTGTTTGTGCATAAAATAAGACATTTTTAAAATGCATTTCAAAATGGTAAACTATATTTGACCACAAAATCAGATCCTTTTCAGGGTTTTAGCTTCTGCATATTAATCAATGTCAGTGCTTCCTATGTACACAACACATCAAATTGCAAGACATGCATGACAATGTTGGTTAAATACAGTTCAAGAGAAGAAAAAGGAAGTGAAAGATCAAAGGAATCATTATAATTGAGCTGTGTAGTAATTCCATAGATGGTCTTATTTTCATTTGAATATAAAATTTTTCTTTTAGACATATACAACAAAAATTTGCAAATGGAAATCCTCTGGATTTGAGAATAAAATTCAGATTTCTTTTCAACTGTCAAAGTAAATACTTATCCATTTTCTCCTATTTTCTGCAATCAAATTTTCCTGGCCTGCATCTCCAAGGACATTTCCTATCTTAAATTCTGTCCCTTAAAAAAACAAAGAATGGATTTCTGTTTTTTCAACCCGCTGATCTCTCTTGGCTTTGATTTTTTCTTCTGCTAGTTTCTTATCAAATTTTGACAATCTACTGATCTATCTCCTGATGTCTTCCCTTTATTCTTCATACTATTTACAGATTAATTGTACAAAAATACAAATCTGATCATATTACTGTAGTGTTTAAACTCCTTTCTTGAACCCACACTGCTTTCTTAGAGTAACATCTCTGGCCTTTGAAATTCTATCTACTTTCCATCCTAATCTGTAGCTCAAACTTCTCTGGGATTATGTAGTCTCACTGAACCATTTGGTATGTCCCAAACATGCCACCTTGTATCTTGACTGTACCTTAAACAGGTTCTTAGCTGGGTATTGTGGCACAATGCTGTAACCTCAGCTACTCTGGAGGTTATGGCAAACTCAAGGTCTACCTAAGCAATTTAGTGACTTAGACCCAAACTCAACTGCCCAGTACAGTAGTGATGGAGGAAGTGGAAGCAGAAGACCAACAGGAAGAAGAGGAAGGTGAGGAGAAAGAAGAAGAAGAAAAAGAAGAGGAAGAAAAGATAAACAGGAAGAAGAGAACAGAAAGAGGAAGAGGAAAAAGAGCAAGAAGAAGAAGGAGGAGGAGAAAGAGGAAAAAGGGGAAGAAAAAGAAAAGAGCTTTCCCATGTGATTGACTCCTACTAACCCCCTGTAATCTAGTTGTACCATCCCCTTCTCTGAGAAGCTTTACTGAACCTCTCACCCTACATGGCCTTCTATAATTATTCAGTAGACTTCCCAATATCAATAATGTTGAATATCCTTTTAATCTCCCTCTAGCACACTAAACTTTCCTCATCAATACTTTATTCAAGTTCTTTCAAATAAATGGAAGCACTTAACTCTTATACCCTTATTTCCTTTGACTCACAACTCATCTTAATTCATAATTTTTAGGAAACATTCTATAAGAGTTCTACTGCAACCTAGTTTGATTTTTCTGCTCCAAGGAAACTATAATAATTACTGTACTTAACATATTATGACAGTCCTTTCTGGACCCTCCTACTAGAACATAAACTTCTAAAGGGCTGGATATATGATTCATAATGCCTCAAGACACAATTATATGTCCCCAGAAACATAACTGAATGTTAAAGTGAAAAGAAAGACATTGATCAAGAAAAAGGGGTTACTTACCACAGCTCAAAACCAAGCTATTAAAAAGAAGCATTGCAAATTACCCTCAAAAGCTTTAATGCAGCAGACATTGCTCAACTCTTCTAAACTTACCTGAGTCTCGTTGAGTTCTCTCCTCCTTCTGTGGCTACCCAGGCAACATCAGCAAATGACGCCACTGCATCCTCTCTTGGGTGACTAGAAGTCCACTCCGTCACATGGCTAGTAAGCTGTCAATTACAAACAGGGAAACTCCTTTTTCTGACATCAAAACATTTTTACTCACCTAAAAAACTAGCAAGCTTTGGTGGTACAAACACCTGGGAATTTTCTACTAGCTCCACTGCAAGTTTCTGTGAAAGAAATTACAAGTCCTATGCTGCTGTCTAATAGTGTACAACAACATCTGAACTACAATTTAACTTAGTTTTTTTCTTTTCTTTCTTTCTTTCTTTTTTTTTTTTTTTTTTGTTTGTTTTGGAGATAGGGTCTTGCTGTGTAATACAGATTGACCTTGAATTCACTATGTAGGCCCAGGCTATCCTCAAACTCATGGCAATCCTCCTGCCTCAGCTTCCTGAGTGCTGGAATTATAGTTATGTACCATCATGACCAGCAAAAAAATTATGAACTCCCTAAATCTCTTTTCAACAGTATTAAAGAACAAAAATAATAAAGAACAGTAGAGCAGAATTTAGCAGCCTAAAACTTAACACATAGATGAAGGAAACAGTATTTTGAAATAAATACAAGAAAAAGCATGCAAGCCAGAAATGGTGGCATACAATTGTAATTGCAGAACTTGGGAGTTTAAGGCAGAAAGATCATTGTGAGTTCAAGGCAAGCCTGGACTACATACTGAGTTCAAGGCCACCCTTACCTACAGATGGAGACTGTCTCAAAAACTCAATAAAAAAGAAAGAAAAAGCACGCATGGACTAAAATTTATCTTTAAAAGTGGAAAGATAATTTAACTGAATTTAGGTGACATCATACTTATAATGCTACAAGAGTTAGAAAATCAATGAGTAACAATTTTAAAATAAAGTCAGGAAGTTAATATACTTCCAAAGGTTAGAGGTTAAAAAAAATTTTTCACTATTTAATTTACTAAATTGGGAAAAAGTATGTAAAAGGTCATAGAAATTTTTCATTAACATATTTATCAAAAAAGTTCTACTGGCTCTCATACTATTCAAATCTTTTTACTTTAACCTAAAGGCTTATGCATGCTAGGCACTTCTACTACTGGGCCACATGCATACTCTTTTATTTACAACCTTTTCAATGACACTATTGCCAAATCAAGTTTCTGAAAGTCACAGTTCAATAATCCCTTTTCCTTAAATGCAAAATACAACACACAAACATATAAAAACTAACAGAATTGAAAGTTTAAAATACCTTTAAAATACTGTAAGTATTTTACTATAAGTATTTTACTTACTTATACTTACTTATACTATAAGTAAGTATTTTACTTACTTTATAAGTAAAAATTTAAGAAACTATATCAGCTACTGGCATATGGATTTATTCTGGCATCATTAGTTGATATACTCAATGTAAATAGATTAAGAATGAAATTTTAATAGTAATGTACTAAAGATATCAAGTACACAAAAAAGTCGTAAAATATAGCTTTAGGTGGGATGTGGTAGCTTATGCCTGTAATCTCAGCATTTGGGAGATTCAGGCAGAAAGAATACCAGGAGCTCAAAGCCAGCCTGGCCTGTATAGTGAGTTCAAGAACAGCCTGAATTACATAAGGAGACTCTGTCTCAAAAAAACAACAAAAACAAAAACAAAACAAACGTAGGCTTCGGGGAGAACCAGTAAGGAGAATATGTTATATCAGAAGTAGAGATTTAGTTGGGCATGGTGGCACATGCTTGTAATCCCAGTACTCAGGAGGCTGACACAGGGAGTTCCTCACAAATTCAAGACCAACCTGGGCTACAAAGTGCGCACAAGGTTAAAATCTGAATGGTGCCTTCCAAAGGGGCTACTTCATGATGATCACTCTGATGAACTCTGTTTACAAAATTCTGTTCCAGAACAATTACTATCTGACAGGGATGTAGTCGCATATAAGATAAAGTACAATTCTGACTCTTTCCTATGGTTACAAAACTTGCTAGTTTCTTCTAAAATATTTATAAAAGGAACCAATGCACTTCTTTATCAGTACACACTCAAACTGGGTATGACGGCACATGCCTATAATCCTACCCCTCTGAGGCTGAAGTAAGAGGACTGAAAGTTTGAGCCCAGCCTTTAGTAACTTAGTAAGATCCTATTTCAAAATTAAAAAAGAGATGTAGCTTAGTGCAGAGGCCCTAGTTCAATCCCCAGTACCCCCACCTGTCAAAAAAAAAGTCAAAAGGTATATAAGTTAACCAATTTTCAGGGTCTCTTAAATAATAATTAAGGATCAAACATGTTTCTCAATTTTACATCTGTACCCTAAATATTAACTATGAATGTTGTTTTTTGCACAAGCTTAAAGAAAAAACCTCCAACTATTAGTTTGCAATCTTATACAAGCATTAAATACACTTAGAACACTATAAACTGAACATTTGCTCAATGAGATGAAACTAGTAATAATATGCACTGTCAAGATCCACCAGTACCACTGCTAGTGAATAACCTTCCTCCACCAAACTAGTAGTTTTGTCATTTAAATCAAATTCATACAAAAAAGTGAAACTGGCAAAAAAAAGTTTACAGCCCTCCTGGCTGTTGCTGAGGAGAATATTCATCAAGTAATGGAAACATAAAATGTGAAGGACAATTTCCAGGACAATCCATTCAATGCAGTCCAAGCCAGAGTGAAGTCAGCTGTGACAAGGGGTGTGAAAATGAGAGGCTCCTGGGAGTACAATTTAGAATTCTCCCCTAATACACACGGATGACTGATGGGAAATGTGCAGAAAAGAGCCATTTACTGCCTGTTTACAGCAAAGTGTTATCCTATTACTACAGCTATGGTTCAGTAGGAAAGGGGAAAAAAAGTAGACATAGAAAATTTAGTGTAGCATTTTATTTTTACTTGTTTTCAAAAGTTCACTTTAACATTGGAAAAATTTACCTAAAATTTTACTTTATAAATCTTACTACATCAAGATTTACTTAACTCATAAAAGTCTGATTAGGATTTAGCTCAGTGGCATAAACACCTGCTTTGCAAATTAAGGTCATAAATTCAATCCCTAGTACCACAAAAAAAAAAAAAAGACAAACAGTCTGATTAATGTAAAACTATACTAAGAAAATATATCCTGTAATACTCCCACGATCTTGTTTTCACTGATTAGACTCTGTTCCATTCTGTATGATAATATCAAGTTTGAGGTATAGGAAACTACTTTGAAGGCAGTAAGATTCACTAAGATGCCCATGCTGGTTTGACTATTGTCTCCTTTGGAAGTCCTGTAATGTTTACAATGCCTAAGTTTTATTGGTCTTGTTCTCTACTGTTTTGTTCAACTTTATAATATCTAATGAGATAGACAATTCTTTTTAAGGAAACAAGAGACACTGTTGATAACCACTGTTGATAACCTTGTACTCTGTTTTACATCATGTGCTATGTCTATCCTTGGTTTTGACTGACAGCTTTGTTTTGCCATATTTGACTTTACTCTCTCCCCCCAAAAAAAGCAATAAGAACAAAGGAGTAATAAAACCCAAAATGTGTAAATTTTGTTGTAAAAAAGAGAGGGAAAAAAAGAGCTCTAAAGGATACAACAGCAAGTGTGTTTAGGGGTGTTAAATAGCTGACCATATTAATGTTTTTGGTTGGATCATTGAACACAACTGTTTGCAGTCTCACTGTTTGAATGTCCACTTTGTATTCTTTGATACTGTGATTTGAGCAACTATTTCTAAGATGATAATATGTAATCTATTAACTGGTGATTTCTTACTTTTTTTTTTTGTAGTTCTGTATTACGTGTACCCTTACACCACTTTGTTTTGTTCTGTGTTTTTCTCTTTTTCCTTTTAAATAAAATTAAAAAGAAAGAAAATATATCCCTAGCACTGCAAAAAAAGGTAAATAAATTAGTTTTAATCTTTTTAAACAGACAAAATAAAAGTTACATAGTTTACCATGCAGAATGTGTTTTAAAATATGTGTGTATTGTGAAATGAGCTATTTAACAGGTGTATTACCTCACATATTTATTTTTTATGAGAATACTTGAAATCTCATAATGATTTTCAAAATACAATCCACCATTACCTATAGTCATCATGTAGCTTTCTTTTTTCTTTTTTTCTTTGTACAGGGACTCAAACACACTTTGCACTTGTGAGGTAGGTGCTTATGCTGCTGAGCTAAATCCCTAGGCCTTATAGTCACTATGTTGTACAGTAGATCTCTTTGTAATCACTTTTTTTGTCAAATATTTATTAGACATTTCCATACACAAAGTGAGACAGTGATGACAGAGAGGGACAGTGATGATAGAAAAAGGCAGCAAGCGACAAGTGAAAATAGGAAGGAAAATGTGCCTGTCTCTGAAAATAACCTTGGTAACAGTATCTCTAGGGAGAAATTCACCTGTAAGAGTCATTACTAGCCAGACTTCCGGGAGAACATGGCGGACAGATAACAGCAACTACCGGAGGCTCTCTGAAAACTAGGCTCAGAAGCCAGGTATGGTGCGGACTAAAGAGACATAAGCAGGTGGAGTTATGCTCTGCTGACTCAGGAACGAACTCGGCTGAGAGAAACCAACTCGGAATGCAGTCCTGGTGCTAAAACAGGAACAGAAAAGCCTCGCTGCTGAGGCTGGACCCCACGCCATTTGGGTTTCCCGCCGCGCGGTGGCTGGCTGCCTCTACATCGGCTCGGCAAGGAGAGAGACGCGCGGAAACTCTGAGAACGGGAGTCTGTGAACGGAGTCGAAAACAGGACGGGCAGGGAGGCATGTTCTGACTTGTGGCGAGGTGAGTGAGAGAAACTGACACTCCACCACAGTTTGACTCCAGCGGACTTTCTGGGCCCGGGCAGTCCTGCGGGAGCAGGGCGCGCTGGCGACTCCAGCCACACATTCCCCTGTCGGGCGGGATTGGTGAAAAGTGCCTGGCCTGCGTGACGCTGCCAGCGGACCCCGTAGGCTGGCCCAACCCAGATCCCAGAGCCTGACGGAGGCCGGGAGGGGCGGGCCCCCGCGTAGGCTGCCTGGTGTGCAGCAGTGAGTGGAAACACCTAACCGGC